AGCCTTACCCAATGATTACGGGAAGAGGCATAATAATTAGAAACATATGCATATGGAAAGATGTATAATATAATAATTTAAAGAAAATTCGTTATAAGAACAACAAAGATCGAGATAACAGATTAATTAATTCAGAGAATAATGATACCATTTCATATGATAATATTTTGGACAATATTGGAGAAAGATAATTTCCATCGGAATTTTTGAAATGAGGAATTATTTGATATTCTTTGCTACTTAGATCAGAATGCTTATCTTGGTTGTTATATTCACAACGTTTCGGCCTTTATGCCTTCTTCAGATATTTGCACTCAATAACCTTTTTGAAATCTCAAAGCGAATCCTTTATTCAATCCATGGGAGTAGATAGTTCTCATTCTGCTTTCCATCTTGTTGTGACCAAGTAAATGGTTAAATAATAACAACAACCGGGTTTGTAGATATATCGTATATTGAACAGTAAGTACACTAGAAGAGTATTACATGACTAGTGAGAATATATCGAATGAACTAGCGCTCAATCTATTCATTGTTCACTGTTCCCGCGAAGCCTTCTCTCTTACTTATCTTATAGTAGGCGGAAGAGTTTAACATAGACTCTTTAGAGGAAGGACACTACAACACATGTTTAGGGGAGATAACGTGTATCATTTAAGGGAGATAACACGTATCACTTAATACTCATCAGTTTTATTCATATTAGTGTCGTTTGTCCACTTCTTTCTCTGAACCAAAACGTGATTTTACAACACTACCAGACATAGGGATTGAACTTACAACTGCCAGGGAACGAGATTTGTTTTAACCAACGCTTCTTCCCCTAAATTTTGGAATTAGACTAATGTCTATTTAGTAAAGGGTTCAGGTCAAAATTCCGAAAAGTTTACTGGGTACAAAGACCGGATGATGGAAGGGGTGGGGTATAACAAGGGAAACATTTTGAGTATATGAACCAGGATGATGATGCTAGTTCGAATAATAAAACATTAAAATGAGAAGGAATTGTTGCAAAATGTACCTACACAAAACTAATTGATTCGAAGATAGGAAGATAGTGAATATTTTTATATGCATAGAAGCATGACGGAGTAATGGATAGCGGCTCGATTTGAGGAATCGAAGAGCCGAGTTCGAATTCCGTTCGAATCCATTATATTGACTTACGTGCTAATACACTTGTGATTTTCAGTCGAGTTCGTTACATAAATACCCTTGCATGAATACCCTTGTGAAAGGTTTTAGCCCATCTCATCTCCCCCAGCTATGGATAAATAGCAGGCCAGACTGGTCATTTAGCCTAGGAGAATGAAAATTCTGAATTCAAACTGCCAAACTTCCCGCAATATCCCAGGTGTGGTGGGAACGCCTAGACCCTTGAAGACATGGTCACTCGGGGGAAAAAAAAAAGAAAAAGAACGGAAAACACTAATTTTTTTAGTGTTATTTTTCTTCAGGAATTAAACGGTTATGGCTCTCCACAGATTCTTTTCATTTATTAAATGTATCTAGGTTACAGAATTTGAGAAGTATAAAAATTGAATACAATAGAATATAACAGCTGGTTGAACAGCTTTTGTATTTTGGTATACTTGTATGTTTTTTAGTCTATCAACTGGTGTGTCTACTTTACATTTATACTTTGGTCAGTCTATGAACTTTTCAGCCGACCCGCTGAAGTTTTCATAGAGTTCTTCATTGGATATATGTTGTTTCCAACTGACATCAATAGTCGAGTGAATGTAACATCGAGTTTTTTTTTTCCCTTTTTCTTTTTTTTTTTTTTTTTTGCTAGTGATTTTGTTAATGTTCATCTACTTGACCCACCCACCCTATAATAGCATTGTTTCTACTGCTGGCTTCATGAGTTGGACTTTGAAACTGTGAATTTTTGACTTTAATGTAATATAATGTCAATATAAGAAAAATGTTATTACTTTCTGAGTAAAAACTTTAATTCTCTCCATATCTCTTATTTCGCTTTCTCATTCTTGATGGAGGAACCCTTCCCCGAGTGACCATGTCTTCAAGGGTCTAGTCGTTCCCACAACACCTGGGATATTGCGGGAAGTTTGGCAGTTTGAATTCAGAATTTTCATTCTGCTAGGCTAAATGACCAGTCTGGCCTGCTATTTATCTATCTATAAATCGTCATGATTTCTTGTGAAAGGGAATAGAATGGTTTTCCCCGTTCATTCTGTACAATATTGAATTCAGTGTAGTTTTTTACTTAGACTAACTACTGCCCAAGGTAAGAGATTCCCAATCTATCCTATTAATTAGTTCATAAGATAAGCAATGGAGTAATGCCTTTCTCACGAGTATTTGTGCAAAAGTGAATGCAAATTTGAACTCGGTTCGCGGATACCGCTCTTCCACGTCGATAGCTATTACGCTACTTGCCCAATCGAACAGAAGGTACGAAATAGGAATGACAGTAAAGAAAGAGAGAAGGAAGGACACGAAAGAGAAAGAGTGTGAGAGGATACGAGTGAGAAGGCAAGACAGAAATTGGGAACAGAAATGTGGGGAAAAAACATGAAGAAAAGAGCAAAGAAAAAAAAGGTAGGAAAAGATTTGGAAGAAAGAAACGATATGAAAAAAAAAAAAGAAACTTTACACGAGTATTAGAAAGAAAAGTTGAAATAAAAAATAATGAAATATAAAAGAATTATAAACAAACATAAGTGTGAAAGAGCAAATGCTACAAACGAAGAAAAGACGACAGTGAAAAGAAAATGAAATAGATTACATAGATATACAGAAACAAAAGAACACTCGTTGACACGTTTGTGGTGTCAACGGATACTCGTTGTCACTTTCGTAATGCTCGTTGTTGTAGAGACTATAATACCGCCGTTGAACAATGCTGGTGTCAGACGCCGTCGAATAATCTCGCACTAATAATACTTGCTCGATAATACTCACTCGGAAAGTAACCACTATATAGTGTATAGTGTAGAGTATAGTGAATAGCTATCCATATAATAATAGAGGATAGAGTAGAAAGAGTGATCCGTATTGTATCAAAAGATAGACTAGAAATGGCGATCAATTAGACGTCACGTGACTTCTTGCTTATGGGTTTCCTCTATGGTCACGTGGTTTGCTTAATTCAATAATGGGATCGCCTGTGTTTGCTCACTGGCGATCTATGTTCTAACTGAAGTGTCGGCAGCGACACTTTATTCCTGTATAAAAGAAAGAAAGAAAGAAAGAAAGAAAGAAAGAAAGAAAAGATTGAGAAACTGAGAGAGAAAGAGTGTGAGATTTTGTTTTAATCCTTTCACTCCAAGCAAGGTGATAATGCCATTAAGACGCAAATATGTTTAAAGGAGTGAAAGAGAATGAAAAGACTTTAGTGAGAAGTAAAGATTAACGGTTTTGGGGAAACAAAAAGAAAGAGAGAGAAAGAAAGAGAGAGAGAGGGAGAAAGAGAGAGAGTAAGAGAGATTTGTTTAATGGAATAAAAGTTGAGTGACAAAAAGTTACATAGAAAGATAAACCAGGTGATGAGAAATTGGGAGAAAAAAGACAAAATTGAAAAAGGCCTACAAAGGGCAGGAAGTTGTGGAGATCCATAATCGCCCACGTCCTGAAGGGACACGGCACAAAGAAGGAGGAGAAGAAAATGGAGGAGCCAGAAGAAGAAGAAGAAGAAGAAGAAGAAGAAGTCAAGAAAATGATATAAAGGAGGAAAAAAGATCTGGTGCGGACCAGATAAAGATGCGTCTTCCGAGGTTTTCTCCATTTTTCCACCATTGCCATTTATCTCGAGACTCCATCGTCTTTTCATGTCCGTTGTTTCGCTTTACACTTAACTGCAATTACACAAACATGTTGATATTGGCACAATATTAAAATGAACTTCCTTGCATACCAAGTGACGTGAGACGAGGCCCGGGCGAGTAAATATTATCTTAGAGTGGATGAAGTCAGCAAAGGTGATAAAGAAAGAAAAAAAAAGACGTCGATTCAGAAGAACGGAACATACAGTCTATCAGCGCGGCGAAGGGAAGAAAAGGACGAAGCTGATAGCCCCCTATCCACACCATGCAACAACAAAAAAAAAAAAAAAAAAAGAAAAAGAAAGAAGACAAACAAGAGACGGCCGTCCCCTTCCTGGGCTGGGTCAGGCATCGCTTTCTGTGGACACACGTGCGACTAGTGATGTACTGGCCTTCACTTGTTTAGATATATCTACTGACGAGAGGTGCTGGGTGTCTGGCACAGTTGTACGTCAAACTATAGCAGCTGTGGTCAGCATTATTTTTCTGTGCCGTGTCCCTTCAGGACGTTGGCAATCTATTTTATTAAAACTCGGGCTTTAAATGCCAATTTTCAAGAGAGGCAGTTAATTTAATTTTCAAAGATTGGCGCTGCATAATCTCCTAATCGACAAAGTAAATACATGTTAACATGGTTTGACAAGCTATATATATATATATATATATATATATATATATATATAAATTAATTGATTTAAAATATGTTTTTTTTCGCTACACAGTACTAATCATGTTTCAAAAATGGAAGTTGAAAGCTTCGAATTTAATTTTGTAATTAAATTAAAGACATTAGTTCCATTTCATCCTCAAGCGAATTTTGGAGTCTATATATATATATATATATATATATATATGTAGGCAAATATATGGATATAGATCCGACAGTATGAAGAAAAATATGTTCCTCTCCTTTGTCATCCGTATGTCGACATATCTAAAGTAAGAAATTTAAGTGAACTTAGCATAAAAGACAAAAAGAACTTTAGAATAAGTGTCTTGCCGAAAAAATGTATTATAAATTTTTTTTTAATCGTTTCACACCAAGCATAGCGGCAATGCAACTAGAATACAGGCAGTTACAAATAGTGAAAGTGAAAGTGAAAGAGAAGATGAAGATTGAAAATGTGGAGGACTGGAGAAAGGACAAAAAAGGAACAGGGATCAAAATGACAAAGGATGGCGATTGATGTTGCATTTAAATCTTTGAAGTTA